ACGCGTTGTGCAATCAATGATGGGTTTTTTAAATTGGATACTCTGAGAATATTTTTATGGTGGGTCTTCGTAAAATACGTACCACTTTTCTTGCCAATTCTATTATACTTTGTGTTTCAATGTTTACATTTATAGCGTCTCTTACTGCTAATTGCAGCGTATGCGCAGCACAAAGCATTACGCGAGGCTTATATTTATGTGGTGGTATGGTGCTATTATTAATATGGTCTAAAAAAGAATTAATATTCATAATATTTTCAAATTCATGTATTTCTTGTGTGCGTTCATTTTCTTCCTCTATTTCCTCATCATCACTTGTATCATCTGCGTCTTCATTTTCTTTATTAGTTTCATCTTCATTCTCAGTATATAACTTACAGACTAATAGGGTAGTCATTTTCATTTCATTTCATTTCAAATCATTCAAAATTTCGATAAGCTTCTCTGTTAAAAAATCACCAGTTTGCCTTTCAACTGTTTCAACAATAGCTAAATTTCTAACTTTTATTTCTCCGTCTTTAACATATTGCATATTAATTCCTAAAAAAATTCTATCCATATACGTAGCGGCGTCTAGTTTAAGACTAATCATTTTATGTCTAACTTCTTTGCTTATTTTTAATTTGACTTCGTATGCTTTATCTATCACAAGTTTTTTAATGGATCCAATAGATATTTCGCTTGGTCTTGTAAAATAGCAAAAGGTCTTCCATGAATGGTCACTAATTTAACACAATTGTATTTTAATTGTTTAATTCGCTCTAAAGACACCTGTGGCTTACTATTTTCTTTATTCATTGTCATAATACTCTTATACTCATTATAATGTTTCATCGATAAATGACTTTTTAAATTAGTAGTATGTTTACCCTAAAACAAACAAAAAAAGATTAGACATAAAAATAAAGTATACTATAGTTACTCCAAGTACATAATTAGTCACAGTTCATTTCATCCAAACCCTTCCAACTGTTTCAGTGAGAAGAAGTGACGAACACATCATTACACACGCACACACATGTGTACACACAAACACATACATACACAATAACCATAAAAACACGCCCTCATTGTATTTCTGAATAAGTATAGTGTAGGATCAAGGATGACACTTACAAAATTTCGAGATATTCCTTGCATATTTTCTTACATTCAGTGATTTTGTAGCATCTTTCGTTTTGTAGCATCAACTTTATTTTATTATTTTATATACCTAATCGTCATTCGTCAGTAGTTTATCCGTATGCTACTACCACCGACTCAAAAAGCAGTTCTACGGAGAAAAGCGAGAGAAAAACTCAACTTTTACTCATTAAATATTGAATTACAGAATTTATAACTACAATTTACAATATTACAAATAATTCATAAGTAGGAAAAAATATCAAAATTCGCTCCATTTTTACTTTTAAAAACACATTCTTAATATAAATAAGTGAAATATATGGATTTCTTTCATTAAAACGCTCATATGAATAAGTGCAACGTTAGTAGTAATCATAACTTTTGGAAGATAGTAAATGATTCATAAATAATTATTAAATTTTAAATATGATAATTATGTAACTTACCTTTAAATTATTCCCACATATCAAACATTTACTCTTCTTCTCGATGTTGTATAATTAAAGTATCGATGAACAGCATCGGTTTTAATTGGAGGCATTTTAAAATAACAAGACTAAGAGCACTTTTCATATCACTCGCGTGTTGTCGAATAAAATAAAATTGCATTTCTTCAGGCCTAGACAACCTAAACAACGAAAGAAACATGGTGTTCGTTTGCCGCCTTTTTATGTTTTCTATACTACACTCTAATATGTAATGTTTCTTAATAATTTTAGAGACTAAAATTGTACCATTATAGTTGTTAGATAACACGTTATATATGAAGTAACCCATTATTTATTGGGTAACCTAATACCTAACCTAACAGATAGCGTTAACCCTATTAAACATATGATTTAATTAAGCCTGTTGACTGGGTAACCCTATGAAAAGGGTTTCTTGTTAAAACCCTTTAAAAAAACCCAGGTTAAAACCCTTTAAAGGGTAACCAAATGGGTCCCTGCTCGGAACTTACCATGGTACTAGATGGTGATGTGTGTTAAAGGCCCAACATATATATTTATTTATTTAATAATTATCATATTATGTCGCAGGTAAATTGAAAAAAAAAAGGTGAAATTATAATTAGGTACCCGGTGTTTTGTCAATCATCTCCTTTTCTTACAATATGAAATATCATGGGACAATTTTAGGTATATTATAATTTCACTAAGCACGTTCAGTGATATTGTAATTACCCTATTTAAATTGTTAATAGTTGCAATTCTTGGACGTGATGGAAAGCCTCGATCCGATCTGATTGGTCGATTGGTCGATCGGACATTTTCAACCGACTTTCTCAAAAAGGAGGAGGTTCTCAATTCAGCTGTATATGTTTGTTACCTCAGAACTCCGTCATTATTTACCGATTTGGACAATTTTTGTTTTGTTTGAAAGTGTATACTTCCAGATTGGTCCCATTTAAATTTCAAAAAAAAAAATACCACCCCTAAGGGTGGAAAAATAGCTAATGATGAAAACCTACTTCTAATTGCATATTGACTTGAAACTTTGCAAGTGTTTCTATTTCCGTTGATAGTACAGTGGTTCGGTATTGTTGACCTGATCTGATGGTAAGGTCAGAAGGTGGATAGGTGGAACTCTTCAACGACTAATAGTAGATACTTTGAGTTTGGGCTTATTTTGTTTGATTTGACAAGCCTAACACGTTAGAATTCTTACTTTGCTACTACTTTCTACACTAAAAAGGGAAAAATAAAAACTTTTTAACAAAAAAATAAAAACCGACTTCAAACGAAAGCACTAAAAAGTAAAAAATAACTGATTGGTAGTTTTCATTTACTATACATGCCTAATCAAATATTTTCGAAGTCGGTGTGCTTTGCTTTGTATGGGCTGGCACTGATTTAAAATACTATTCAGAATTTTTCTGTAGGAGTTTTAAAGACCTACAATTTTTTAGTATATTGTTTTGATGTATGTAAGGCTTAGCCAACGGAAGGTTTCTAGGGAGGACTCGATAAAACCAGTTATTGTATTTTCCCGTGGGAAAGAAAGATTTTCTTTAAGTAAAAGGTATCTAGGCAGTGGTATCCCAGTGGTAACGCGCTCGCTTGAGAAACCGAGTGAAGCAAGTTCAAATCCCGGGTCTCGCACCTCTGATGTTTTCATGTGCGAATCATTTCTAACAAAATTACCACTTGTCTTAACGGTGAAGGAAAACCTGCATGTCTGACAGAACCTAGCAAGTTTTCGAAAGACGTGAAGTCCACCAACCCGCACTTGGCCAGCGTGGGGGACTATGGCCTGATACACCTCGTACTAAAGGGAGGCCCGTGCCCAGCAGTGGTACGTTAAAAAGGGCTGAATACAACATACATACATACATACATACTACATACAAAAGGTACCCTAAATGTTGACTCGATTAATAAGTTATCACACAGGCAAACAGTAAAACAGACAATTTTTTTAATAACTATTGTTTTGGGGTTTATGTTGTGTACATAATACGTTACAAATAAACAAAAACATCTATCCCATGGGAAAAGTACATTTTTCCGGGATAAAAAGTAACCTATTTGTTATTCTGATGTATGAACTATATTATTGTAAAGTTTCATCAAAATCCAATCAGTAGTTTTTATGTACTAAGCTGTATAAGTTACTATAGTTTTTTGACGATCCCACGGAAACTCTTTAATTTTGCGGGATGAAAAGTAGCTTATTTGTTTTTGTCATGTATGAACTATATTATTGTAAAGTTTCATTAATATCCAATCAGTAGTTTTTGTGTACTAAGCTGTATAAGTTGTTATAGTTTTTTAACTATCCCACGGGAACTCTTTAATTTTCCGGGATGAAAAGTATCTAATATGTTGCCCGGGGATATAAGGTACCACCATGCGAAATTTTATTTAAATAGGTCCAATAGATCCGGAGGTTAGCCCGTACAAAGAGAAAAACAGAGAAACAACTCGCTCGGGTTCGTCCATACCTACGAATATGTTGTATTATCTCTTTAACCATTTGTCCAAATTATATGCAGTAAAAGGGAAAAGTATTTTGTTTTAAACATTTTAGACGATTAATTTGCTTATTTTGATAAGAATTCATAATTTTTGATAATATGACCAATAAACATGACCTACCGATTTAAATTGTTTTTTTAATATAAAAAACGACTTTTTGTGACTTAAATATAAAAGTTAGATATATGCTGTCGCTGACTTTTTTGTAGGCATTATTAAGCTCTACAACTTTTCTCTAGAACATAATCATATATCTCTCATAGTTAAGGCAGCGTTCGTAAGAAACGTTTTCGTTCGACCGTTTTTTCTCCGACTTACTTTGCAAATACGACTACCACGAAAAAGCCTTTTCATTTTTCGGGTTAATATATAGCCTATGACACTCAGAAAGAACGTGGCTTTCTAGTAGTAAATGAATTTTGAAAATCGGTTCAGTAGATCCAGAGATTACCCCCTACAACATCACAAACTCACAAGATCACAAACTTTACCTCTTTATAATATTAGTATAGATACATAAAATTGTCCCGTGATATTGTAAGAAAAAGAGACGATCCACAAAACTCCGTGAAGTTATAATTTAACAGTTTTTACAATCTCTCTGCGACTTATAATAGATATTATGTAGCAAAGCGAAATCTGTACTTGAAATAGCTGGGTGAAAAACAGTGACTGTTACGTATTGTGAACAGAATATAGACCTCAAAAGAACAGATATTGAAATATTTGTTACTATTTTACTTACAGTAACTATTATTATCTACATATATAAAACGTGCCTAGGGACGCACGAGTGCGAACCGAGCGAGGATAAGTCGCTAGTAGATAAGTAAAGAAAATAATAAATAAAAGAACAGTAATATTCTGACATGCCACCTTTAATTTTGAATGTTACATCAGCCAGGCTTAGTCCGCAAGTACCGCTACCCGCTGGAGGTGCACAGCGTGGTGACGGCGGACGGCTACCTGCTGACGGCGCACCGCATCCCGCACGGCCGCGACGCGCACGCCGCGCCCGGCCCGCGCCCCGCCGCGCTGCTCGTGCACGGCCTCATGTGCTCCTCCGCCGACTTCCTCGTCCTCGGGCCCGGCAACGCACTCGGTCAGTAGGTGGCGCAGCTAACCTCCTCATTGCTTAACATGGACAATTTCGTATCTTTTTATTACATACATTTCGCAACACAATAACACACTTTATAAATATTATTTATTGTCATTCATAGCATAATCTATATATATAAAAGAAAGTCGTGTTAGTTACTTCGCTTATAACTCAAGAACGGCTGAACCGATTTAGCTGAAAATTGGCAGGGAGGTAGTTTAGAGCCAGGAGAAGGACATAGGATACTTTTTATCCCGTTCGACCGCGTTCCAATTTTTATGATATTTTAATTTTTGGATTTCTCTTAGTCCGGAATAGGTAAGTATTAAAACATATAATTAAAATGTGAGAAAGAAAGATTTTTTCTTTTTATATCTATTTAAAACGTACCTAGCGACGAACCCGAGCGAAGCGAGGGTGAGCCGCTAGTCATTAATAAATAAATTAATAAAATCTAAATATAATGTTAAACACTCACCTTTACCTTCATTTTTCTTTTCCGAATTGTTAACTTTGTTGTAATTTTCTTGTAGCATACCTACTTGCGGAGGAAGGCTACGATGTGTGGCTTGCCAACGCGCGAGGCAATTATTACTCCCGACGTCACCTTTTCCTCGATCCTGACGACCGCGAAGGACTAGATTTCTGGAAGTTCAGCTGGGATGAAATAGGCAACCGAGACCTACCCGCTGTTGTAAACTATATCACGCGAAAGACTGGCCAAGAGAAAATGCACTATATTGGATACTCCCAGGGTACCACTGCTTTCTTAGTGTTAACCTCCTTGCGACCTGAATTCAACGATAGGTTCATATCTTTTCAAGCTCTCGCTCCGGCCGCATATGTAGAACACAACGAAAATAAATGGAGAAACATTATGGTTCAATTTGAGCGTGTTCTTGAGGTAAGAACTAATGTATATTGTATAAATAATGATGATAACCTACATAGAAATGAACATTATATGAAATTGTCCTATTTTTCCCGTATGCAAAAATATAAAGTGTTTAGGCTTGAGAAGCTTTATTCATCCACTGTCCTGTCGACCGATACTACCTAAAGGTATCCTATCTTCATTTTTCTCGAGTCATCGAATAAGGTAGCTAAGTTGTTTTCTTAAATTTTGAACTCTACAATTATCAATAAAAAAATGTATGTTTGAGCGCGCTAATCTCAGAAACAGCTTAACCGATTTGAGTGTGGTTTTCCCTAATATATTGTGGTAAGCTTCACTTAACATTTAATATTGTTTTATTGCAATCGGGTCATAACTAAAAATGTTATGTCAATTTAAATTAATTAAATAAAAACCTAAATTTACTTAAATAAAATCCCCACTGCCTTAAAAGGAACTAAAAAGATGAAAACAAGTTGATGAAGCAACATGTTTAAAAAGGACTATTATATAATAAGGTGTAGGTCTTCACTTTTTACCTATGACTTTCAGTTATATGTTTGGTACCGACACGACACCGAGGTAAGTAGTGCAACCTCTGTTACTCTGTTGCTGTATGCAAGTTAGCAAGGCGACAAACGCACTTTCGCATTTATAATATTAGTACAAAAAGTAAGTAGTGTATAATTTTAAGAGTATTGAGTTTTTTGCCTTTATTTCAGACCATTGCCTTTGACCGAGGTTTTGGAGAGGTGATGGGTTCATATGAGTTGTTCACCAACCTTGGATTGACCTTTTGCCGAGACAACTCTCTTCTTCAGCCGCTTTGCGTCGCCGCCATAATGGGCCGCGGGGAAATTGAGAATTTTAATACTGTAAGCACCTAAATATTTTTATAATTACATTAATATGATTAATTGACTATAGCTATAAGTTCACTAACACAACTACGTTTATATTCTCGAACCCTAAAATATTTGTACGGGAATGGTTGCATGTTAAGAGACTTATTTCTTATTTAGATAAGCATGACTTGCTTGTAAACAATATGCATTTAGAACTGGCAGATCTACCGAGGACGCGCTTATGCATTTAGTTGACGATATAGTGCAAAATGTTGATAAAAAAAAGAAGACTAGGTATATTTTTAGATCTATCAAAAGCTTTCGACACAGTTTCTCTGCCTCTTCTATATAATAAACTAGCGGCTCACCCACGCTTCGCTCGGGTTCGTCGCTAGGTACGTTTTAAATAGATATAAAAAAAAAAAATCTTTCTTTCTCACATTTTAATTATATGTTTTAATACTTACCTATTCCGGACTAAGAGAAATCCAAAAATTAAAATATCATAAAAATTGGAACGCGGTCGAACGGGATAAAAAGTATCCTATGTCCTTCTCCTGGCTCTAAACTACCTCCCTGCCAATTTTCAGCTAAATCGGTTCAGCCGTTCTTGAGTTATAAGCGAAGTAACTAACACGACTTTCTTTTATATATATAGATTGGAAAAAAATGGTGTTAGGGTGCTCTAGATCTCTCTAAAAGTCACCTAACTGGCAGAACTCAATTTTTTACCATAAATAAGAATGTTAGTGGTGAAGAGAACCTCACACATGGAATACTCCAAGGCAGTTTACTTGACTCACTCTTTTCTTAATCTTCATTAACGAATTTTGCGATCTTAAAATACCTAATCGTAAAATCGGGCGGTGCATCTAAATCTTTTCGTTAAAGCTGAGTATGGCACTATATTGTCCGGAGACTGAATTTTGGAAATCCTGTGAATAATGTTAATTTATACAGATAAATAAAATTGAAGTGTTGTAATGTCAAAAGAACAGCTTTTTACTAAAATAAAATTTTGTCTGTCTGTTTGTTCCGGCTAATCTCCGAAATGGCTGGACCGATTTTGACAGGAATTTCACTGACACATAAATGATAATATAAGGAGAAACTTATGCTCCTTTTAGTTTAGAAAAAGAGTTAGGTTCCGCCCAAAAAATTTAAACGTACCTAGGGACGCACTCGAGCGAAGCGAGCCTAAGTCGCTAGTAAATGATAAAAGTCTATTATTTAAAAAACATATCTTACACATCTACCTATATCGCTCCATGATTTTTCCATTTCAGACAATGTTACCAGTGTTCATTGGACATAACCCTGCGGGTGCAGCGCTGCGTCAAATCATTCACTATAGTCAAGTACAGCGCTTTAAGCGCTTCGCCCGCTACAATCATGGCAGCCCCCTCGCAAATCTAGCCGCATACGGCAGCATCACGCCACCAGAATACGACCTGTCAAAGGTCACGGTCCCATCGTACATCCACTATGGAGTCAATGATACGCAAGCTGATTACAGGGACGTGCTCTTCTTGGCCCAAAGACTCAGAAACACTGCCGGTGTCTATCCAATCCCAAGACAGTCCTTCAATCACTTCGATTTCATATGGGGAGGAGATGTGAAGACGCAGCTTTACGACAACCTAATTAATTTATTGAAGGAAGCCGAAAGAGCACAACCCTGATCTCAATTACTGCTCAATTATCATGGCTGCGTTAAAATCTAAATATTCCTTACAATAACTTCATGGAATTTATCATATCAAGCAAAATATAAGAATTTGGACAAATGCGAGTCCGACTTCGACGGTTCTGACAAACATTAAATTTTCATTGTTTTAACTTAGATAAATTTATGTAACGCGCACGCAACCACAGCAGAAAATAATAAGTATTTCTAAAAAGATATAATAAAAGTAATCATAATTTTGCGACTACCAAAGTGAACACAAAGCGTGTAACTGAAATTATCCCCAAATAATTTTCTAATAAAAAAATCGTAACCACGTATTTTGGAAACACTATTCGACTTAAATTTCTCTTAGAATCTTTTAGTGCACAATATTTATTATAACTTAGCAACTATTTAGTATTATAAAATAATTTATTTATATGAAAATAAAATGAATGTTATTAATATAAGTCCCTGAGGAATCTATCTCCGGTATACCTCAAAGACTCACATACTGACATTTAATTTAAATATAAAATATAAAATTGACGATTCAAAAGCGCCTGTAAAAGTTAATTTGAATAAAGTTCCTATATTTTGATTTGATTGACTTAATAAAAAAGTTCTTTTTATAATTATCTATTTTATTTTTCGAGCCTTACCTAAAATACCCTACTGGATTTTGGCTTGAATTATATATCAAAATATAAACACGAATAAACGCGATTCAATCCGAATCAAGCGATTAGCAGATTCGTGAAGTTACTTATGGTAACTTACCTGTTTATACTTTATACACGCTTGCCAGGTAGTGTCAAGAGTGGTCAAAAACTAAGTAGGCAAAGCTACCTAGGCATATTCTTTATATATTATTTACAATCGGTTAGAACAAAATTCGGCTGGTTAACAGTACGGTGAAAAAAAATAATTAAAAATAGCCTGGATTTATTATAGCTATTAGCTATATTAGCTATTTTAGGCGTATTTATTAACCGACTTCCAAAAAGGAGGAGGTTCTCAATTCGTCGGAATCTTTTTTTTATGTATGTTCACCGATTGTTCGAAGACGCCTGAACCGATTTGGATTTTTTTTTGTTTCAAAGGGTATATATACTTCCCAGGTGGTCCCATATAAATTTTATCGAAATCGGTCAAGCGGTTTTTTTAAATCGACAAATAAATTATTTTTTTAAATAAATTGCTTAATAGAACATGTTATTAAAAAAACTTTCGTCTAACAAATTACCTGCTCATTACGTCTACACTAAAAATGGACAAAAAACTTTTTAAAAAAACCGACTTCCAGGCACTAAAATGTAAAAAATAACTAAACGGAGGTTTTCATTTAGAATAGATATCTAATCAGATATTTCCGAAGTCGGTGTCAATCGACAATATTTTAAGATATGAATATCTTAAAGGTAAATATGTGTTTTACGTATCGAAATATATTAGATTTGCTTTGAATCGGGCGGCCAATCTCATTGAGACTAGCCAACTGCGCAGGAGATATTATAGGTAGTGCACAAGTATGCGCGCAAGCACAAGTGCACTCTCTATTCCTGTCACTCTTATACTCCGAGAAACAGTTAAGGCGCAAGACCAGCGGCTTTACGTGCTCTCCGAGGCACGAGGGTGAAACACCGCCTACTTTCCAACTCCGGGCTGTTACAGATGCTTAGGACACTTGCTTAGCACTTATACAGAAAGACTCAATAACTAAACTTGGCCCGACCCGGGACTGGAACCCAGGACCTCCAGGACCCGTACAGCCGTACATGCTGGCCACTACACCACCGAGCTGCAAGAAGAGTTAGACCATACATGAATAATAAAGACAGACTATCTGCGAATCGCCGACGAATTTTCCGAAACCTACCAATCGGCAACGTAACTTTTGGAAACTTAACCTACGGCGACCTCACTTTCGGAAACCTAACTTTTAACGAAATAACTTTCGGCGTCCCATATACCGATTCGGAGTTAGGTTTCCAAATGTTAGGTCGTTTCCTATTGAAAACACACTTCCTAGGTTGCAAGCTGGAATAAACACCATACACCAAGAAATCACAACTTCAACCCCAACAAATGTAGAAATACAAACAGTAAACTCGATTATCACTGACGACAAACTCAAATGGGCTATTGACAGCTCAAAACCATTCAAATCACCGGGAACAGATATCATTTTCCCCATACTACTACAATTAGGCTTCGACCTAATAAAACCCTGTTTAACAGACATATACAAAAACTGCTTACTACAAAAATACGTACCTATTTTCTGGAGACACGTCATGGTAGTCTTCTTTCCCAAATCAGGCAAGGCAGACTACTCGCAACCTAAAGCTTTCAGGCCCATAAGCGTAACATCCTTTCTCCTCAAAACCCTGGAAAGACTGCGAAAGACACATCAGAGAAACCACTCTGATAACTATACTACTAACTAATAAGGAAATTTAACATAGAACATAGTAATTTTTACAGTAAAGGCTTGTACAAATCAATTTCATACGTTTGGGTGAAGTACTGTACTCCTTGCTAGGTTATAAAAATAATCTGTATTAAGGAGTAACAGTCCCGTTCCCCTTTGGATATTTACCAGTATATTTATATACCGTACATTATGTTTTCATTTATACTATCAACTAATTACAATACTAGGTTCTATCGTTAGCAGTAACATTAACTTGATATAACTGAGTAAATGAATGAAAATGGATGAATATGTGTGTGTGTGTGTGTGAGTGGTGTATGTGTGAATGTGTGTGTGTATGTGTGTGTGTGTGTTTGTGTGTGTGTATGAGTGTGTGTGTGTGTGTGTGTTTGTGTGTGTGTGTTTGAGTTTATACGTCTAAGTTAGGTATTTTTCTGTTTCGTTATAGGTTTTGTTTTGTAGGAAAGAACGAACACTTTTTTTCAGTTGTAGTAGGATAAGCCGAATATTGGACATTTTTGACTAATCTTATTGTATAAAGATGGCCCTAGATAATAGAAAAATCTCTTACAGAATGCTGACCGTGCTCGTGGAAGTGAACAGATTTTGTTTTAGTTTGTTCACCTGCTACTTTTCACAGGCAATGATTTTTTATTTCGACGGTCTGGTGTCACACTTTATATTATTTGCTATTAAAATGAAGTATTAGTAGGGGAGCCCAAGAGGGGATTTTCTGTAGTTACTCGAGCGCGGCAGATTAACATAAAAGAGGTTACCTTGCACTCTATTGAGTACTTTCACCATAATATAAGTCTTCTATATAAAGGGGCGCGTCTAGGGAAGCCGATTAAAATATTTAAAAAATGTTTTGATAAGGTAGAAATACTTGAAACCGTCAGATTAAGGTGTGGTAGGCTAGTCACATCCTGAAAAGTGTTCAATTCAATAATCTGCCGATTTGCACAAGCCGAAGAGGCAAAAATCGACTATAAAGTTTATGGTGATTTGTAGCAGTCACTGCGAATTTAAGTAGCAGGTGTGACGTATGATAACGCATTTCATGTGATTTTTCACTTGCTACTCGTGAAATGTTCCATGCCTAGTATGTAATAATAGAATAGAATGTAATAATATGTATATATAATACTTATAATAAATCTGTAGAGAGGTCAATTCTGTACATGAAATATATTTCCAAAATAACAATCAGGGGGTGATTAGGGATCGATACTGATGCCAAAAATGCAATCAGTAAAATTTTTGCCTGTCTGTCTGTCTGTCTGTCTGTATAACCGTTATAGAAAAAAAAACTACTCGACGGATTTTAACGAAACTGGGTACAATTATTTTTCATACTCCTGAGCTGGTTATAGTATACTTTACGCTACAATCAATAGGAGCAGAGCAGTGAAGGGAAATGTTGGGAAAACGGGAGAAGTTACTCCATTTTTTAAGCTTCCGTCGCGTGTGCTACCTTAATGGTTAAAGCTACACAGAAATCATGTATGACGGAAATGTTCTCCTTAAAATTATATAAAAAATATCCAACGACAGCATATGTCTATCTTTTATGGTTGACTCACAATAACACGTGTAACTCCCGATAGCTTAGCAGTTCGAAGCTTTCTGATTTATATTTGTCTACTCTTACGTTTATAACACTCTCAGTCATCCCTAATTAAAAAAGTTAACATTATAAATTATTCCATAAAAAAGAATCATAGAAATCGGTATAGAAACACCAAGGTTATACATGAAATACGCTAATAATAAGCCATCGCGAGTCAGGGGGATGTAAGAAGACAAATAGAACAAATCCAGACTTTTTTCATTTTTTTTGTTTCTCTGTCTGTTTGTCTGTTTGTACGGGCTAATGTCCGAATCTATTGGACCGATTTAAATGAAATTTTGCATGGTGGGTGGCATATATCCACGGACAACGTCTTAGATATTTTTTATCCCGGAAAATATAATGGTTCCCGTGGGATAGTTAAAAAACTATTATAACTTATACAACTTATGCACCTAATTTAGTAAAATTTAACATTCTGATACCTTATATTGCTGGTCAAACAACCGGTTACTTTTCATCCGGGAAAAATGAACGGTTCCCGTGGGAACTAATAGATCTCTATTAGTGTTTTTCTAGAGGCGAACCCGAGCGAAGCGAGGGTGAGCCGCTAGTTGTGATACAATAATAAAATTCTAACTAAGCCGAATCTGTACATTAATTTTTTTTGGAAAATCTTGTTGAAATAGACATTATTATCGATACAGAGGCCGAATCTATAATTTTTAGAATTTTTGTCTGTCTGTCTGTCTATCTGTTACCGCATCACAGAAAACCACTGGAGGGATTTTGATGAAATTTAGTATGGTGATAGTTGGTTATCCGGGTCAACATATAGGATACTTTTTACTGCGGGAAAATATCTCATTTCTAAGAAAAAATACAAAAACTGCATTGTAAGAGTATACTAATATTTAAGACCTAAGAATTTGGTTTTTGGTCATCAGAACGCGGGCGGAGCCGCGGGCAATGCTAGTTATAATATTAAAAACGTAATCACTGA